CTTACCAGCAAAATTAAGCAAATTGATACGCACTATTATGTTTTTTAATTTAACAGTTGTACCCCACATATGTGACCCACTCTGTTAAAATGAGTCTTAAGTCGCCAAAGTCACTTTGGAGTACAAAGTCCTTCAGAATAATTTTGCACAGTGTAAATCAATAGGACCCTGCAGCATTTTTCACCATGAAGTATCCACTTTCCTCAGGATGCCAAACTGAGTAATATTTTAAAACAAAAACCTCAGTTTGCTCTTTCCAATACAAATGAAAAACTCAAAAAGTGGCTCTGGCGACTTATGACACATTTTCACAGAGTGGGTCACATATGATGGAAAAATACTTATGGCCAATCCATGAAGTAAAGGTAATTTTTTGTAATATTTCTGCATATGTAGACAAAGAAGTGTTCACAGTAACTAAAAATAAAGCAAAAAGTAGGACATAAGCATTTTTGACAACAGTTTCTCCCCAACAGAAATAGCCCCAACCATGGCTAGTTTCAACTTGTTTCAAATTTTTTCCAAGAAATCTGTCAATGGAGCGTGCTTGTAATGTTCATTGGATTTTTTGCAATATTACTGAGGCTCCACATTAGGATTGTTAGGGATTGTGTTGTACTCTCGGCAGTCTGTTTGGGAGAAACTGGTGCGAAATTGTTTTACATTAATGTAATTTACCATACACATAAGATATAACGGATGAAAATGGTGTGTCCTTGTGTCACCTGCAACCAGATTTTCTTAGAGAATTATGCTCAAGTTACCAAGAAGAGCTACAACCTACAATACATGTATAAATAACAATTTTGAACGACTCCTTATCCCCTAACTAAATGTGTATTACAAACTATTACAAAACGTGGCCCAGCCTCATGGAATGACCCTTTTATTTTTATCCTAAAATTCTACTGAGATATGGGATTTGATTTCAAAGCTGCAGAATAACTACAGAATATTAATAAACCTAACGGCACTCCAAATTCGGTCTTTATTAGCTTTTTCAAAGCAGCAAATCCCAATTTTGTGCCGGAATGACAGAGTTGCAGCAAATTCAATAAAATTACTGGGTTGTTGTTTTTTTTCCATCTGTAACATGGACGGGCTGTCTTTTGCACATTCACTACCAAGCAAATCGGTGGTATGGTCTACAATTTTGACAATTCTTTGTCACACTGTCAGTCGTAACATTAAACAGGTTTTTCAAGTTTTGATTGAGTTAAAATGACTTTTTTCACAAAGCAAATACGCAATTTACACTTGTTAAAACTTTGTAAAGTCTTGTAAAGTGCTGGAATGTGAAAACCCTGTCCTTTTCACACATAAAACAAAAACAGTGATTCTTAAACTGGCCACAACTCGGTTGAAAAACACATTAATTAGAATCACTATTTTGAAAGATACATGTACCAAAATATAATTTAAAGTATGTACAAGTACTTTACATAAGTCTTTAATAAAGACCTCAAATTTGGAGTAACATTAGGGTACTCTTTTATCAGGAAGCCCTGTAGATCACATTTATCTTGCACCAACACTGTAACTCATTTTTGTGGCACTTTCATCTCATGTAGCTGATTGCTGTATTCTTGAAAACAAAATAATCGCCGATTTTACCACACTTATCACACCAACCAAGATGCAAGATGTATATAAATTTTCCAAAACAACACTCTAAACTAATTGAAATCAAGTGGTGCAAAATCCAAATTAATTCCACAGATGAGAATTAAATATCATTCCATCGAATGCGTAGGCACATTACATGTTTTTAAAAGTTTTACAATTACTATAAAAAATTACTCAATACAAAATGTCTTTGTAAGCTAATAGCCTTGTACAGATAATTCCCAAACCATTGTGCTTAATAAAGTGGTGTATGAAATTGAATACTATGCAATATGACATGGGACAGTTAAATAATCCTGTTTCTAATCATGTGTCCACCCCACCCTGTTCACAAACTACAGGTACATGTACATGTAAGGGATCCCATGAAAACAAAGTGTGGGTAATTCAATAAATTAAGGGTCCAATGTTTTTGTGTCCCTGTCACATCAGACATATAATGTTGCAAGTTCAAAACGTATTTTCTAATTTCCAAAACTAAGGAATTGATCCAAATCACCTGCCAAACAAATACTAATAGTTTGAATTCAATTCAGGTGATATTTTTATTTCAAATGACAAAGGTCAGACATAACAGGGACACAGAAAAATATCAAAGTTTTGGGTCCCAAATTTACAGAATAACCCTGTTGGGCTCAGCAACATGACTCCCAACCCAGAGGTACATGTACATGTAAGTGATCCGATGGGAAGACAGCGTTAAATTGAGCAATATCCAGCTTAACAATGGTCCGATGGAAATACTGTATCAGGGAGAGCAACACGCCTTGCCAGTTCTCCTTGAGTTGGTGCAGCCCACTTTCATCAAGGTACAGGTGCATGTACATGCAATCCAGCTCCAAGTACAGTCGAAACTCGTTAATAAGAGGCCATTCAGACTTGGCAAATTACCTTGTTATAACAGGGACCTTGCATTAGCAGGAAAGGAAACAATCAAAAACAAAAGACTGGGACCTCAAAATTTCCGTTATCAACAGAATCTTGTATTAACAGGGTTCTTATTAACGAGGTTCGACTGTACATTTACATGTACCTCAGCAGTATCCAACAAGGTTTGTAGAAAGGGTGTCTTGAAAAACATCTTTGTAGTTATATGAGTAGGTCCACACAGCCGCCCCAAATAATACCTGCCGGAAAACAAATCACTGGATTAGAAAGAGGTTCAGGAATGCAAAGTAGAAAGTGAAGAGCGCGATCTGGAATACATGGCCACCTCCTTCTACTTTGAGGTACACATTCACTGACCACATGAAATCTGAACTCATCTGCAATTATTGGCCTGAGTGCAGTAAGTGTCAACATTAGATATATGTATGTACATGTACTTTGAGAGTTCTTTTAAAGACGTAATTCTCCATTAGAAAATAAGTAAAACTGAGAACAGAGGCACATAATTTGAAAACAAAAGCAAAGTCCAAAAAATTCGAACACAAAGAAATTCTAAATTGAGGAGAGTGGAAACATATGAACAGTGTGTCCCAAAGAAAGGTGAAATTTTGGACAGAAAAGGTGCTTCTTTGTGCTTACCAACACTACTGTTGTTGACTGAAGTAAAGGTTTCCTGTCATATATATTGTAGGCATCCTATAATCTTACTTATGTTATCTGTATTTTAGCAGTCGTGTCTTGAAAACATTGACCAGGAGTAAAAAGCATGAATCTCTCTCGTTCTGTCTATGCAGAAAACTTACCGGTACTTGTGAACCATTCCACTGAATTCCAACACAGTCTTCCTTTAAAAAGACACCAATATACATGTACACATCCATCACGTTTGCTGCTCAGGCCACAGTTGAGGGCAGTGGCTGGCCTAAAACAGAAAAAAAGGACACAAGTTGATAATATTGACTAGTGATACACAGTTGCAAGTCAGCAAATATATAGGCTCATGTGTGCCCTAAACAGGGTATCACAGAAAAAAACCAAACCCTTAGGAAAGGGATTAATGTGCCCAAACCTATATGAGGATGTCTGTAAAGTAGAAGCAGTGTGATTTCTAATGATACCTTGATGGCATCCCATCTGTCATGCATCACTGAACATCACTGTCTTTGAAATGGGGCATCAAAACATCAGTTGTAACACTTTGGATAAACCAGTGAATGAGGTCGTCCTCTCTCATGCTTGTCCTTGATTTGATCGATTATTTACACATTATAAAATTCACAATTAATTACGCATCAACACCTTCCACATGCCTGCCTCCCTTTCAATGCAGAATTCTCAGTGGCAGCGCATGTCAGCCACAACTTGTCTCACCAGCACGTACAGGGTTATGTCATAAGATGTCGACCTCCTGCTGAATGTGACTTCATAAAGTCTTGGATGTTATGTGGTGGACAGGTGAAAACTTTGTGCTTCAGACACCCCCATAAAAAATAATCAGATACGCTTTGGCAGATCGACATGATGTACCGGTGTAAGTACATGACAAGTTGTCACTTTCAACCAGGACAAGCGTGAGAGAGGACAGCCTCATTTACTGGTTTAGCCAAAGTGTTACACTTTTGATGCCCCATTTTGAGGACAATGGTGTTGAGTGATGGAGGAACAGGAGGAATGCCATCAAGGTACATGTACTGCATATCAGTAGAAATCACACTGCTTCTACTTGACAGACATCCTTACATGTATATTGTATTCATACATGTATATCGCATGGTTTTGGGTATATTAACCCCCTCCTCAGGGTTATTTCTGGGACACCCTGTAGTGCTACCCCCCATGGATTTGTTAAAATGAACAAGGGAACAGGTAGGGCAGGGATGGACGGGACATACAGTCCATGCCAGAAAGTGATTTCCTATCCTATAATGGTCTCTCCAGGCAACGAACCAGTATATAATCGAGTATAAGGAGTTTTTCATGTCTAATGATAAGTTGCACATGTAGCTTTAATCTCCCGTTAACATGATTAAGAGTCTGGAAACAGAGAAACAAATGTATTTTTACTCAGATTCTTTTTTTAACCATGTTTTTACAATTACATGTACATGTACCATTTCAACAAATAATGAAAAAAAAACCAGAAAAGGTTAAGGGACTGTGTCCAGGAAATTCCAACATGTTGCAAAATGACCCAACCAAAAATTTCCAAGATGTGTTGCTACTCTATCTTTGTTAGTTACTTCTGGAAAAAGCTCTTTTAAAAATGAGATACAGGGGCAAAATGGAAATCGCACAGTTAAGTTCAATTTTTTCCTGGATTTTTGTTGATGAGAGACAGATACTGGTAGGTTTAATTATAACAAGTCACTGTTAGACAAAAAGAAGAAAAAAGGACTAGACGCGTTCAAAGCAGCGGAAAGAAATAGTGGAAGTGGGCTGCAATTGAATGATGTCACAGTTTTAGACTACTCGGCCATTTGATAAATATGCTTGAGCGATACAATTGGTACATTTTCCTTTTCGGGTATACTCTTATGAAAAAATCCCCGAACACACTCAGACCTCTGAATTGTTTCAACGTGACGTTTTGTGCCGTAACAGTAATTTTTTTTTCACAGTCATGATCCCCTTGGAAGATATTAAAGTAAGGTGATGTTAGTTGACATTTTCATTCCTAATCCTAATGTTATTTAAAACAGCATGAGTAAATTACAAATAAAAAATGAAGAAAAAGTGAATGAAAAAGTCGAGTTCTTCTTAAATGAGATACGGAGACCACTGCCCAATGGGAAATTACATGTACATGATAAAAATATGTGAAATCCCTTATAAAGATGATTGAATAATCTCGTATATGAATTCCCATCACAACAGATTTAAGAGAACACCACAGACACCATAACATTAAGGATCATGAATATTTGATTAGGCTTTCCGTTTGATGTACATGTACTGTATATATACATGTACATGTATGAGTTGCTAGTTAATTACCAATGTGCAATTCAATTCACAAAGCCTCTTTTTATTTCATTGTGACACAGGCATTGAATTGAACATTTTTTTATCATTTGTAACAATTAAATCTTGAATGTTGTGCGTTCAATTTAAATACATGTAAAATAGACAGGCCTACAAAAATTATGATACAACTTTGAGTACTGGTTTACATGATGCAGGGCGCATGTACATGTACTTGATCATCTATGTGTTTGTTCTGACATACATGAGTGAGGGCTTGATGTAAAATGTTGCAAAAATGAAACCTGATAGAAATCTGACAAAAATAAAATCAATGAAATACATGTACTGAGATGTTACATGGTTTCTGAGGACTTTTCTTTGTTGGTTCTTTGTCTTACATTTATATGTAATTGTACACATGTACACGTACATGTATATGTATGTCTTTCTGTATTTCTTAAAGTTCTCCCACACATTATACTCCAGGTACATGTAGTTTGATCGTCTGTCCATCAATGACTTGTCCCCCAAGATATTGAAGGGGATGTCTTAGAATGGTTTTACCCGGTGGTGCATTTCGCAGGCTACCGGTAGATGTGCATGTACACGTGTATGGTGCAAAATTTGTGTCAAATGCTGACAAAAAAGAGGTTTGGTTTTTACACAAAGTACCATACATGTAGGCTTTCTTACAAAAGTTTTGTTTCCAAAGATTACACCACCTAGTTTAGTTCTGTCATCATGAATAATAAAATATTATTCCTTCAACCAAACGTTCCTTCTACGCTTGACCAGGCATATCCATGCATGTGCACTACACAAAACTGCGTGGGAAATTAAGCAAAATTGGTGAAATGCAGGACAACAGGAAGGTGCCCTTGATTTCAAGCTAAAATGAAATGTCAATGCGTATATACTAATCGAGCACACGTTCAAGAAATCAAATGCTAAACTTTTAACGACTGCATGGGAGCATATGTAGTCCATCGACCCGTGGGGCTGTCAAAATAAAATTGTCACGATGTCATCATCAGGGGGTCAGGTGACGTTATCAGGGGTCACGTGGGATTAACCCTAACCCTCCTCAATCCTTCACCTGTTAAAGGACTGAGGAATGTTAGGGTTAAAGCTTAAAGCTTTTCTAACTACGCAATATTAACGATCTTTGATGAGAGTACTCCTGAACTTTGGCTGAGAATTACTATGAGAACGAAAGAGAAATCATATTTTTTGTCTTCGTTTGATTAAAAATATACCCAAGAGTCCACATATCAAATAATACTCCATAACTTTTTTTTTCAATATAAACAAAAATAATGTGACATGACTTTAAAGCTGCAGTTTTTCTCCATGGGTTTTGTGCTGAGTTTTCTGAAGTCCAAGACTGGTGCATTCATACATCTGAGTGACTTTGTATTGGGAGCATACGTAGTCCATCAACCCGTGGGGCTGTCAAAATAAAATTGTCACGATGTCATCATCAGGGGGTCAGGTGACACGAGATTAAAATTGAAGTTTTTTCTGTCGGTTTTTAATACATTTTTTCACTTCGCACTTTTATCGATCTTATCAGTGGTTCGCCTGGGGATTACTGTGAGAATTTCAGACAAATCAGAGGAAACTTTTCCTTACAAAAATGATAAAGATGAAATATGAAAAACTCCGAAACAACTCTGTGTTTGTCCACAAACACATCTCGTCGATTTGCATTATGGCTATTTTTACAATCAGAGGTGTAGAGTACATTAACTTTGATAGTTTGGTTTATATTTCTTTAACCAGTGGCATGGATAAAATTCTCAGGTTTTGGGTCAAACAACTATTCTGGGTAAAGGCTACCTCTTTTTCATGTACCTGTAGCGTAACAAAGTTCCTGCATTTCTTCATATCCCAGACCCTAGCAGGGGCTACATGTAAATCCTACCATTATGAGAGATCCATCTTTCAGTGGTTTTTTATTCGATCAATTGTTGATGTTGTGCACGTTATTTCAAGTTGCTTTTGGATTATGATTAAGCACAAGGGATGGACCTTTCTGCTGTATACATGTAATTTTGACCGCTGATTGTGTTTCAATTCTTTAGGTACATGTACGTCATTGCAGGCATTGTTATGTTTCTGAGGTTACATTTTCCATTAAATTTTCATGTCATTAAATTATGCATCATTTCTCACATTTGGAAATGGCAAATATCTAACAGTTTCAAACTATCTGATTTACATGTAACTCTGAAATGACAAAAGCATGACAAAACTTTTGACAGGAATGATGACTTTTAGTACCGGTGCTGTTAACTTTCTATTAATACGCATAACATTTCAGTTAAGTTTCAGTCACTTTAATTTTACAGTCCTGACAAGGGACAGAGTACATGTACATGTATAGTACAGTGTACATGTATGTCCAAAATGTTAAGTACCCTCTGGTTCTTTTCAGAATCACACATGCTCAGAAAGATATAGCCTTGCATGGTGCTACCGTAAACATTTATTAACTTGCCACCTACTGCAGCTTCACCATGAAAAGCTTCAACACTCATCTGATGTCACTCCACAGGTACGCTGAGCTCACCACTGCTAAGGTCAAGTCTTACGAGCACTATTCCATCAAACGTTCTACATGTAAGTACATCAACAACCTGACCGTCATGAAACGTTCCAAAGATTCCAATATCATCCCTCCAGGCCTCTGTCTCCATGATTCTATTCAAAGGCATATACCCTGTTCCATCCTTCATAAGGCAAGCCTCACTCTACTTCACCACCCCTGATCAGTACGGGGGGGACCCTTGCATCATTAGACCAGCAGATTTCCATTGCCCAGGAGAAGCTCCAATCATGTACATGTACCTCAACAGCGGATTCAATGATCACACCTTCAAGGAAACCCACCACCACCAAGTCAAGGAATTCCTCAAGATCAAACTTGTTACTGGGTCCAGTTCTAGCATTGCATTGACCCAGGCGATGGGATCACCTATACATGTACATCCCTGTGCCTACAGCCCCCATCCCTAGATATGGGATCTCCTACATTGTATATATCCCTATGCTCCCAATCCTCTCAGCCAATCATGCCAATGAATGTTCTGTCCCCTCCAGCCAGCATCGCATCAAGCCCCACCTTTGCTCTCAAGAATCTTTCACCAAGCACACCATGGGTTAACCTGAGCCAACATACCGGTACCCTCTCTATTGATGAGACAAAAGTTCTGTCGCTGGGCATGAACTTTGCCCTAGTCCCTCAGCGTTTGCCCATCGAAGATGGTCCAGTGCACTGGGTCAAGCCAGCCCTCTGCCATCTCAACACATCTACATACAGCCGAAATCCACCTGCAAATCAATCAAGCCCTCCAGAAACACAAGCCAGCCAACATCAACCTCTCAAGACATGACTGGTCAGCCATCATATCAAGATGCCATCAGCCAAGACAAGTCCATCCATATTCTCCAAGCAGACAAGGGAATGCCACGGTGGTCATGGACAAGACTGAGAATCACCATAAGTTAGAAGACATTCTCAGCTGAAGCTGCTACCGTGCACCTCAGCTTTTCAAGAGGAAGCTGCAACACAAGCTTCTATTCTGGCAGTATCTCCCAGTCCCTGTACAGACAGCTCCGGCCATCCAACTTAAGTCCCCAAGGTTCTTCAACCAACCCAATTAAAAAGGCAGTCTCCTGATGACAGAGTATACCAACATGCATCTGAAATGTTGAGTAGCCTCCATTTTTTTTCCAAAATGATGTGTACTAACACTGCAGTCAAGAAGATAAGAATACCAAAGTTCACAAGGAAAGACTCAAGAATGTGTGTTGTTTGAATCTGTGGATCTGATACAAAGCGGAGGTTATATGCTAACATTTACAATACAAATCAGTGTACAGTAAATTGTACATGTAGGTGCAATGCACTTTTGTTTCTCATTTCTTTGGGGTTTTTTGCTCCCCTGCTCATGCTAAAATGATTTTAAAACAAAATAAAAAAGTCAGGTTTACTTTTTACTTAGGCTCCAATCTTTGATAATTTGTGTTACCATTCCCTAAAACAAAATATGTAGTTGTGAAGTTTTTCCCCTTTTGACATTTTTCCTTCCACGTATGTTGCAGATCCACATTAAACTCCGCGATTTATTTTTTGAAGATTTCTGATTGCTTATCGATGATGAAACTGCCGCTGTGATTCAAGTGTTTATATGTCACTGATAGCTGCATGGAAAGGCATGCTTCATCTGTGCATTACATACATGTACATGTAAATACACAGTTCAGCACGTGCAGTACGAGGCCGAAACCAGACACACAGACTGGTCCGGGACTGTATAATGCATGTATTGGCAATAGGACTTGACTGTTGGAGGTAGAAACCAGAGACAGAGATTGGTTTGGGTCTGATGAGTTGGAGGCAATATGAAACCAGTATAGACTGGTTCGGGACGATATGTATGTCCGATATAACTTGTTTGCTTCGAGGCAGAAAGCACATACATACATGTACATGTGTAGATCAGTGCTTGACTTTATAATGTGTACATGTATTTGCGTCACGTTTAACAATATTCAGCCTGGTATCTTTATTTTTCGAAAAATAAAGGCATCAAATCAGAAAAGTGGAAATCAGCTAAAAAAGTGGAAATTTTCCGCCACATTCGGAAAGGTTGGGAGGTCTGACAAACACTCCCACATCAAAGCCCCCAGGTCGACTGGAGCCAAGCCAAACTCATCACCAACATTGAACATTAGTACATGTACCCTGTAGGGAAGCCGCTGAGATCTTAAAACATGACACAGTTCCACAAGACATCGGTTTCAACATCAGCAAACATTAAGCATCCCATCCTCATCCGAGGCATGTCCCTGGCCTATGGGTATCCTATACCCTTGGCAACCTTCCCCCATGCTCCCTCCCCTTAGACTGACACACCTCATTGATTTGCTAGCATCCCATGTCCCACTTAAATGCTGAGTTAGCATCCTCTCCACACCTCACCACCTCCATACACAATATAAGCAGCTTCATCGTTAGAACCTCTGCAGTCCAAAACGTAGAGCACCCTCCGGTTCTTTTCAGAACCACACATACTCAGAAAGAGATAGCAGCACTTCTATAACTTAAAGATGATCTTGCCAACAGCAACACGTTTTTTAACTTGTTTATATGGGTCATTCCATGAAGTTGGGGAACACCTGGTTATTTGCCTACGGTCTGAAGACTTTGGAGTAAATCACATAGCTTCTCAAATAATTAGCCATTTCAATTACCACATGAAAAGAACACATAGAGAGGTATATTAGTAGTAGTAGGCGTAGAACAGTTCTGAATCAACCCAACCCTGCTATACCTCATACCTCCCCCCCATTTCCCCCCAAAATCTCAAACTAGATCTTGGCAAAATTTATATTCCTCAAAAACTTTTGACTATATTTCAAAAAGGTAACAAAGTCGCCAACACTGACACTCTTAAAACATTGAAAACCCATTCAACTTAAAGACCAACGTTCAATTTTGCCGACCTAAGTTCCCAATTACTTGCGAAAAAGGGCCGATGAGGTATGGGAGGGCCCGGGCCGACCCCAGAACTGTCCTACGCCTACATTGTACTGCTACAACTTACGAGGCAAAAAGTGAAAAAACCTCCTTCTCCCAAGTGGAAGAATGAGGCTTCAATAAAATTTGAGTTAAATTTACAAATACCTATATATAAATATGAACATGAATAGAGAAACCAGATCACAACGTCGTCCTGTATTGTCTGGCTTCTGACGATTTAAAAAATCATTTTTATCCAACTTTGTCAAACCACCACCTCGTAAAAAAAGTCACACCAAGCCTGAACTTGTACGAGCAATTTGAGCGATTCAACAGCAATTTAAAAATCTTACACGACAATCATATCATCAGCTCTTACAGATAACACAATACAACGACATACATGTATCATTTACTGCCACAGGTGCAAAAGGCAACGTATTGCGAAAAGATCTCGTAACTGCAATGAAATCTTACATTAAACCGGAAGCGATTGAAGAGGTAAACATTTGAAAAATAAGAAGATTTTAAGGCAACTACAGAAATTGGGAACTGACGCCTGCTTTCTTTGCCGACGACTTGGTTCACTTTTTCGAATTTTACAAAAAGTACATCGAAGACAAAGCATTAGCCGAGTTTACAAGAGACTGGTTCTTACAAGTTACAAACAGCTATCAAGGTCAAGTTCAAAATAGAAAAGCCCGGAGCTGAAACTAAATTCAGTATTTTCACATTTACGAGCAAAAATAATGTAGTAATTTCTAAACAACAAGTCAAAGATGTGTTAAACCAACAAATTGCCAAACATTTAGAAGACGTTGAAGCTCACGAGCAAGGAGGATCTGGCTGGGTGTTTTACAGAGTCTTCGCGTTTTACATTAATGTGGTAAAATATAATCCAGTAGGAGCAACTTTTATTCCACTTCCAAAATATTTGGCAGACAAGAAAGCAATCATCAACGTCCAAAACAAAAAATGATCAAGAGTGCATTCGTTGGCCGTTGAGATCTGCTTTAAAACTANGACAACGTAAAACATCGGCTAGAAACCAATCCAGATTATGAAATAAACAATGAACGTACCTCAACTTACACCACAGACGACGGCTTAAATTTTGCAAAAGTGGACTTTCCCACACCCATTTCACAAATTTCACGAATTGAATCACGAAACAATTTGGCCATCAACGTATTCGGTTACACGGACAAGGACGGCACCTATATACTCTACAAAACTAAACACACTGGCGAGCCGATCAACTTACTTTACTTTAACCGAGGTGAACCAGCCCACTACTGCTGGATTAAACATGTCTCTCGGTTAATGGGCGATGTCAGCAATCACGGTAGTAAATCTTATTGGTGTTTTAATTGCCTGTCTCACTTTCAAACCGAACAACGACTCAACAGACACAAAGAAGACTGGAAAGGAATGGAAATGGCGCCTTGTAAAGTGGAATTACCAGGGTAAGTGGAATTAAAGGGTAAAAACATTCTCAAGTTTGAAATTATAAAAATAAACAGGACACCCCTTTCATCATCTACGCGGATTTCAAATCTATTTTGGAGTGCCTCCCATCAAAACAATTAAATACGGTCAAAATGCAATTTCACAAGCCATGCAGTCGTTTGATGCGACAGTATTTGTACCAGTCACAAAACATACAGAGGTCAAGACGCAGCCATTCATTTCATGCAATCGCTGTCCAGAAAAGTTGAAACGATCAAAACATTTGCCGATCCAAAGCCCCTCGCTTGGTCACATGAGTTGCAAAAACGCCAAAGATGGATTTGCGAAAGGCACATTGGTTCAACCAAACAATCTCAGTGCCGATGCCAAATCCCGGACGAGCCAAAAACGCGACCAAAAGGCGACTTTTAGTTCCTTAAACGATCACGGTTTCAGAGACTACATCTGCATAAGCTGCCAGAAACCCATCAAGAAGTTTAGAAAAGTCAGAGATCACTGTCACGTAATGGGTAAGTATCGAAGTCTGGCACATGCCCATTGTACCAAATCAAACACCTGTTCCCATTATTTTACACAACTTGGAGAAATATGACAAGCATCTAATTATGCAAGATGCATTCAACGTTAGTAAAATCAACGCTATTGCCAAAACACCGAGAATTACATTTCGTTTTCGTTTGACCAACTTAGGTTTCTAGCTTCCTTTCATTTCATGGCTTCATCGCTCGATCGGTTTAGAATTGTTCTCCGGAAGATTTCAAGTTGCTTTTCGAAAAATTTCGAAAACAATACAGACCTGCTTTTAGAAAAGGGCATTTACCCTTATGAATACATCGACTCCTTTGACCGATTTGAAGAAACCGGTATGCCTCCTCTAGATGCTTTTTATAGCTCATTGAAACAGCAGACCATTACAGAAGAAGAATATGTAAAAGCCCCAAATGTGTGGCAAGCATTCGACTGTCAAAATCTCGAAGAATACCACGATCTCTATGTCGAAACAGACACGCTGTTGTTGGCCTGCGTATTTGAAAATTTTCATAAAGTCTGTAAAAAGAACTACGGCTTGGACCAGGCCAATTATTACACATCGCCGGGCTATCATGGGATGCACTTTTAAAACACTATGACGTTCAACTCGAGCTGCTAACAAACATTGACAAGCACCTATTTTTCGAAAGGGCCAAAAGAGGTGGCATCTCGAGTGTCGGGGTGAAACGTTTTGTCAAAGCAAGCAATCCTTCTTTACCCGACTACGACCCCAACAAGCCGACGTCTTACATTACGTATCTGGACGCAAATAACTTGTACGGTTGGGCCATGAGTCAACCATTGCCCATCAGAAACTTTTGATGGACAAAAGACACGACCAAATTTACTCCCGAGTATATTGCAAAACTTTCACCGAAAGCTTCGAAAGGATACATGTTGGAAGTAACACTCGATTACTCGCGGCACTTACACAACAAACACAACGATTTCCCACTAGCACCCGAAAATATCTCAGTCCCCAACGAATGGCTGTTGGGATTATCAAAATGATTTGCTATCGAGTGGAGAAAGGGTAACTTCAATAGACAAGCTCGTAATGACTTTAGACACCAAGAACAAGTATGTGGTACACTACCGCACATTGCAAAAGTACCTAGAATTAGGACTAGAGTTAAAAATGGTTCACTGAGCGATGTAGTTTAAACAGGCACCTTGGATGAAAAGCTACATTGACAAGAATACTGAGTTGCGAATATCGGCCAAGTCTGACTTTGAAAAGGACTTTTTCAAATTGATGAATAATTCGGTATTTGGCAAGACGATGGAAAATGTTAGATATCGCATCAACGGGCATCTGCTGAGAGATTTTCAAGATGCCGAAAGGTACAAGAAACTAACTTTTAAACCAAACTATAAAACAACGACTCCGTTTAAATAGTGCGATCTCTCCTTTGATGAAATGTATTGCACAAAAACAAAGTTGAATAAGCCAATTTATTGCAGCGTAAGCGTGTCTGATCTATCCA